CGTTAATTGGAAAACACATATATATTATTTATAAATAGGATGTGGTGTAATCACTTACAATTTTGTAATCCAAGAGAATATTAATGTAAAATCTCTTGTCTAACTATAGACTGTTACACATATCTATGAAGGTAAAACCGGTATCAAGCTGTCTCACATTCGCTCTGTAAGTTTTCAGTTCATGTGTGTGTTGCATCCTACAAGTGACCACTTCATGATTTTACAAATTTTCGCAAATGTAAGCATTTTAAGAAGCACAACAGATTTTCTGAAAATATGATGTCTTCTCACAATCTAGAAAGGGGATACTTTGGACATTCAATGGAAAGGATCAGTTTAGGGTACTTTTAAACTACTTCCCGAGCCCCACCCTCAATGTCTCTTGCCAAGATGCACGAATTAGCCGAAACAAACTTGTTTGTTACCATATTTATTGAATTAAGTGTACAAACGTTTATTAAGTTCGTCTCGACTTCACCGGTAGGATTTCAATACGATCCGAGGTGACAAAATTATCACCCAAATTTCAACCCAAAAATTTTTCCAGAAAACAAAATTCGCTAAATTTGCCTCTTATGATCATAAGAAAACCGATCTTATAATTTGAATTTGTTCAAAGTTACCTTTAAAATTACTGAAAAATATATAATCAACATTTTTTGAGTGAACTGGGCTGGAAGATCTCCTTTAATTAATTGTAAAGAGTGTATTTGCCAAAGTGTCAGTTTAGATCGAGAAACCATCTCAGTTATGGCGAGTAAATTCATGAATTAAAGATTCTTCATTTATGCATAAGCCTTTTTTCCCAGTTGTGAGAACGATTTCGACCACATCAACTTGTCTTTGTTCATTATCCTCTCCGTCTTAATGACCACAGCAGAACCAAGTAATTTAGTTCAGCCACTGTATCTCCATTGTGTCCCGTCATCCTCTGGTGTAATTATGCTGTGCTTGTCTGTGTTTCTTCTTTTTGTTCCATATTCGATCCACTCTAAAGCGACTGTATTCACTAATCTTTTCACCACACTTTGGACAAGTGTGAACTACATTCTTGAGCCCGTCCATTATAAACGGTATCCACATACAACAGTAACACCTGAAACGTAATACCACCAGCTTAGAAATTCGAAATCACGCTGGGAAACAGGAAAGTAACCATTACAAAATATTTGCGCATAAAAAAGCCTATTAACTGTGCCTTTTAAACTTGCCGTCAAATTACGAAGATTAACGAGAGTAAAAATTGTGATGGAAAATTATAGGAATAGAAAGGATAAGAGAAATTTAAAAAAATAATAAAGTGACTGTGTATTTCTCGGCTAAGATCTCCGGCGGTGATTTTTATTGCTCAGCATGATAAGCTTCTTGTAGAACTAATACAACATTGATTTAGTTTTTCACTACTTTATTAAGGTCTATTGCTCGATGTGGCAAAAACATATGAGATCAACTAAACAGAAGCTGTTTTGCGAAATGCAGTCTAGGAGTAGGGTTTTTCATTAGTAAAATGACGTTTTGAAATTAACAGGGATAGGTTGAAAAATATATCTCATCACTGTGAAAGTGATACCATACCATGGTAATAAACAAAGCAAGCGTTATTTGTCAGAAAAAGTCACGTGAATCTCCCAAGTTGACGACTTGAAATCAAATGCATCAGACACAAGGTTAAGGTTTTTTGTGGCCTGGAGTCAACCTTTTAAACAGGAATGAAAATAATTTAAAAATTAACAAAAAAAAAAGAATGAATAATAAAAATGAATGACACCCGAGAGATAACACAAGATAAAATTCTTTCAATAATAACCTTTTACACCGGTTGAAAAGGTTATTGCTTTTTTATATTTCCTTAAAATTCAATGTTGTTACTTCTAAAACACGTTTCTCGGGAGTCCATTCCTTAACAAGTGACTCTTTTAGTATTCAAAGATTTCTTTGTCCCTTTTATCAAATCCAATTTGAATAAGCTACATTTATTTCAACACGTTGTTGATACTCTAGCAATAATTAAAGGTAGTGCAACACGAATCAACTTTTCAAGTTCGAAACTGTTGAAAAAAAAACCCTGTGCGACATGAAAAATGTATACTGGGCAGACAAATAATTAAGAACAGCGTCGCTTGTAAATTTTCCCCGTCATCCTCACGTCTCAGCTAGTCGGAAAATGAATACAGAAAAAAAAATTGAGCAGGTGGAGAAGCTGATGAAGTGAAGCTGATTAGTAACAAAGGTTTGTTCTGTATCATGTCAGCATGAGGTGTCCTCTCCTTTATGGTGCGATTGTTATATGAAAAGAATGTTTTGACAACTATCTACATAACTGAAACATTTCACGCCAAGTTCTCGGTCAAATGATTGGTTCTCGAGAGGGAAGATTCGTATTAGAACGCGTGGCGTTAGGGCACTAATTGATAAAAGGTGATGTGTTTATATCGAGTTTTACGACACAGGCTCCTCAGTAAAGCTGATTACTGTTGCTAAATCCAAGTCGCGCGAAGAGCTACTCATCTGCATTCGATAAATTAAATCAGTACTGTTTATTCTATATACGGCAGACAGTTTGCAAAACAACCCTGTTTGATTCGATTTAAAATAGGTGAAGTCTGAAATTAAATGTACTGTATATGATCTCAGATGAAAACAAAGACCCAAACTTATTTAATTTTACTGACTTTTGATCCGAGATTGTTCCTAAATAAATTTCACTTCAAATCGTTATAACTGACTAAAATTCCATTGACAAACTTTGATTCTGATTGGTATGAATAATTCGGCTTTATTTTCAATGAAAAAATCCGTCTGCCTCCGTGAAACACAAACGAAAAATTTGATTCGATACTCTTGTTTTGAATACATGTAAGTCTCGGAACAATCATATTCATGGCGATATTTCCAACCACAGAGAATGAATTTTCTCCAAGAGTCACTCATACAACAGAAACAAAATATATTTGGAGCGAAATGCTCATTCATACTTACTGAAATATGCATAGACAGGCCGAGGTCCAATAGGTATATTTTCCAGATTTGAAACTGGTACGAGTGACAATTTTTTCATGGCAATATGGGCATGTAATGTACACTGGAACATCTTCGAAAGCGGTTTCGGCATCAGAGGATTCCGCGCCATCTGCACCTGCTTGTTTTGTACACTCTTCGTCTTCACCCACTTTCTGTGAAACCAGGTGTATCCTTTCTTCGCTGGTCATGTTTTAAAATTAAACCCGAGAAATATTATAACTTCTTTGAAGAAAACGCCGGCTAAGGTCTCTTTGGAAAATTTTTTTAGGAATCCCAAGTGTTCGGTTCCTAAATATATTTTGAAATTGTTACTTTAAACAACACGACATCAAAATAGCTTATCGCATACCTCATTCGTTAGACGCTGTCTACTTGTGATTTCCTATTGGCCGAACGCGACATCCGCAGCCCTTTGTTGCTCGATTACAGAGCAAATCTTTTCGTCACAATTCGCCCAATCAAGTTGATTCTCTTTCAATCTAAGGAATCTCACTCGACGATAATAAATGTTATTTCGAAATTACTGAAATGATAATTTTCAAGACACTACATAGTTCCATTCACAAAAATTACAAGCTTCTTAGAGATTTAGCAATATAAAAACACTGTCAACATACGGTGTACTTTGGTGAAAAACCATAAATTTCGGTCAAGATGTACATAAGTATCAGTGAGGCTTGATACTGACTATCATTAAACGTTTGAACTGTAAACTTCCATAGCCAAATTAGATTGAAAGTTGTCTCTGCTTCAGTTCCAAACCAGATGATATTAGACCAGATATCAAGACACCTTACATGTGTTTCTATTCAACAGCTAACAGTTGTCTTTTGCGCTTAATTCAAAAACGCTTCTAATATAATACACGTACAATTACTGTTTAAAACATGTTTGCATATAAAGAGTACACGAAAGAAATTGCATTTTTCTTCGTTGTGAAATTCAATTTTGTCAGAACAATCAAACTTCTTTCGGAGAGCGAAAATAGAACTGGATTTTTATTTCGATTTTGATTTGTGGCCGGGAATGAATAAAACATGTAATCTGAAACACGGTTTATTTGAGCTAGATCCTAACTGAGAATCTAATCTACGAAACGCCCGCCCAGAGGAAAACGTTTTTTGATTGAGTTGCAGATTAGAAACTTGAAGATCAATCGAGCTGCAAGCTGAATGGGCGGCTTAGTGTTCTACCACTGTCGAAGTGGCTCTTGCGGTCGGAGAAAATCTGTAGCTACACTAAATTGTTTCAACCATATCACATACGTACGCATTCAAACAGGCAGTGTTTCTTATTGTCTGCGGCACTAGCTGCCGTACACTTTCCTTCCTTTGAGAGGTGTTCATAAGGGCAATTTCAAAGTAATAAAAGCGAGCTATTGAGCAAGACAGAAAAAAATCACATGGTGAAGTCTGGGAAATCAACCTTCCACCATATAACGAAACTTTCGGTAAACACAAATGACTTAGAAGACGGGTGTGATTGCCGGGTGAAGCATCAGTGGAAATAAAACCAAGTTGCCATTATCGAGGAGTGGTTTTCACTTAACAGACTCTGAGCACTCGTGATAATTACAAGCTAATAGCTTAGAATACTACATTCTTGAAGACAGACCGCACGCTATAACTGATAAGACAATTTTTCCCAGCTATGAGTTCATGCTTTTGTCCTCAAGAAGGTTCCTATCAGTCTAGTCATTGTTAACAGAACATCAGAGTTAACCGAGTATTTTAATATGCGTAAACGGGGCGTTAAGCACGTGGATACTAAAATAGTAGCGAAACACGGCAAAAAGATGAACTTACGAACATTTGCTGCTCTCGATACTTGTGTCACCAAGCGCTATGAGAACCCTGACAGGGTCATTAACATACAGTTCTACACAATGAACCTTTCAGTCGACTCCATGGAGCAGAACTACATATAAATAAATTCTTTCGGCTGTAATCGAGTAGCCGTTCATAAAACAAGCATTAATAATAGCTTATATACCGCTCTGGGGTTCGCCGGAGACTGTCTCTAAGATTCTCATGTTGAGAAAGTCTTAATATACTTGAATCAGATCGTTCATACAGCGTAGATAGTGAAGAAAAAAACCCTTCTTGACTTTTCTCGGCAGCCATCTGCAAATCAAGTAAGTAAATAAACCTCCACCTCACCCCATTTATAGTGATTGAACTGATTCAGCGTTTCGCTATCTAATAATAAAATAATGAAATAGTAACATCACGACTAAGGAAATCACCAAAAAAATCGTGTTTCTTTGAAGTTAATCATTTTATTTTTTAACATGTTTTAACAAAGTCACACGCTCACAGGGAGACACGCATTCATAATCTGCCTTTTTCAATGGTGACATCAATTTATCAGCCACAATCATGGAGTCCACGACTTTTGCATTAACTCTTTAACTCCCAAAAGTGATCAACAAGTAACGTCTCCCTACATTATTCAAGCATTACCCAACAATAGGTAATGAGAATACTAAATCTAATCAGGTAGTAGTTCTAATAACTAATTTACAAGGAAATGTGTAGCAGCTACGGGAGAGAGTTAACATTCAGATCTTAGGAGTTAAAGGATTAATCTTCTCAAAACTACAACATAACTGCAGGTTTCTGGGGAAGCGTACAAAGTAATTCAAGGAGCTAAGTCAAGTCTTACGTATCTTTAAAAAATCATTAGTTCCAATCCGTGCTTATCTTTTCAAACCTCCCTCGCTCTTGTTCCTTTTTGGTATACTTTCCACTCGGCGATGTTCATTTTTCTTTGCGATTCTTAATTTTAGGGTTTTAGTCAATTTAAGCGGAGTTTTCTCTTCCGGAAATAACCTGGACTCTGATGACGTCACACCTTTAAGTCGTACGCAGAATCTGGGGATAACTAATTTCATCCATAGCTGTATCTTACGTTACATAACATGGTGACACGTCTCAAGGGGATTGACAAACATATGGCGCCTCCAAATCTACTGACGGTGTAAAAGCAGCGGGACTCAAAACACGGCCGACTACTTACTACACCATGTGACTCAACTGACAACAATTAAACTTAAAACATAATATTTGAAGACTTGTAACGCAATCCCTCAATGCTTGGTTAGGTAAATAGCCATAAGAATTCCTCCAAGAGCAACAACCGTAGCTCCGAACACGAGCGGCCATCCGAGAAACTGAAAAACAAAACAGGCAACAGTTCTCAAACTTCAAGATCGCTCGACTTCAATTGTCCATAAGGGACTAGTAAACAGACATCATGTGGCACGGGTAGTTTTCTTTCCTCAGTCTTCTTCTATTTTTTTTTTTGGTTTTGTTTTTTTGACAAATTAAGTATCACTGCGTTTCTCAGTTTTTTCAGGGTGTCTACAGGGAACGCAGCAAGAGCTCACATGACCTATAACAAGGGTTCGTTAGAAGGGGGCTTGGGAGGGGGGTCTAATGAATCTGCCGACCGTCCTTTATTTTGTCACCAGGATAGAACCAAATATGATAAAAGATACTAGTATGTTATATATATTTCGTTCGTGTATCAACACAGCTTAACCTTACTGAACACAATCTTCTCCTGAAAGTGGCTCGTTAGGAACTTCAGTAGAAAATTGGATATTCTAATACAATAATGTAGTGCAGTAAGGGATCACAGAACACAATACGTACCGACCGGTTATTTTTCTTACTTCCTCTTCTGGTTAGGTCTCCTACCATTCGTCGATACATTGTTCTTTCGCTTTCTTTTTCCGAAGCCAGTAGTTGTCGCAGTCGATTGAGTTCTTTTCTTATTGTCTGAAAAGTAACCATTGGACTCCTAAGAACCACCGAACCACCAAAATGACTCTTAAAAGGCACAGGGTTTGGAGAAATTCAGTGTAAATTTATGGTGATACAGTTCAGTGAGTCTGTATAATGGAGTGAGGGCACACCCCCGGTCCCTTTCCCTTGTTTTTGGCCTGTAGTCAGACTGCAATTTTGTCACATCCCAGCTTAGAGAAAGAGAATGTAGGAGCAAGTTTCTTTTTAAAAAGCACAACACACTGAAAGATAGATAGATAGAAAGTCAACACTAATACGTAAAAATTGTTCACATAAAAGAAAATCCAGAGTCTTTTGGTACCATCGTGAAGGACTGGCGTACATAAAGGGGAACGCGTTCGGCCCTAAGTTACGTTTGGTGGGCGATAACAGATTTTCCCCAAACCTCTTTTAATACAAACTGGGAAACTTACTGAATTACTTGGATCCAGCTGATCTGCTTTCTTAATAAACCCTATGGCTTGGCCTGTATCTCCACTGGCTGCTAAAACCTGTCGGGATTAATACATGTCTATCAATATCATCACATTGTTGTAGATACAAGGAGGCTACTGCACAGCTGGGAAATTAGTTGGAGAGCATACCTTCCCTTTCCTGAAGAGAGCCTTTACATTGTCAGGATCAACTTGTAATACCTGAGAACAAGATTTCTCTGCCGCAGAGTACGCCTTTATCTAGAAAATAATGATCATTGTCATAATATGATGTGTGCATAAATTCAAAGTTAGCACGGTTTAAACGTCAGGTGATTAGTCCTTTCAATGAGGAACTGGTTACCTTAAGCTGGGCAGCAGCCATGTTATTCCAACATTTCATTCTCAAGTTTTGTACTTCCTGTAAAATATGACACAAGTTGGATTTGTTTATAAATGCGCAACAACATTTCAAAATAAAATAAATGCAACTGCTGGGTAATTAAGTCCAACCATGGCACACAAAAACCAACCGTTCTATTTAATGACTAATCACTTGAGAGGAGGTGCCTGGTGGTGGATATTTACAGAGTCCTGAAGCCACAAGGTAAATATCCACCAGTAGCCACCCACACTGGTTACAATATTTTTGTTGCTTGTAGGTGAATATCAAAGGACACTCAGAGTTTGAGTAAGAAAACAGAGTGTGCCTTCAATACTATCCACTGTTTTAGCAGATACTAACGTATGCTGCCCACCATAACATGACATGATCAGCAGGAGAATAATCTCTCCTTTCAGATGAGATATTACTCTATCAAATGTACTCCAACTCATAGCCTCTTTAAAACATTACACTGGGCTTCAGTAACAATTTGCTATCACCCAATTGAATGTCACGGTGGAAAGAAGCACTTTGAACTTAGCCTCTCTTTCCCAAGAATACCACAAGGTGAAGGCAAACAAACTGCAATCAAAACCAGATAGAGGGGGAAATGACAAGTGACTTCTTCTCCCACTTCCTCTTTTCTTTCCTCTTCTCCATCTTCTTCTTTTTTTGATTACTTGTAAAAAGTTTTCTTTTACACCCCTTTACAGATCAGGATCACTTATACCATTCTTCTTTTCTCAGCTAAATATCGCAGGAGAAGTCCGAGTAATTGCAAATTGTCATAACCCTATGAACTGCTCTAAGTGGTATCCACATGAACAAATATTGAATGAAAAAATACAAACCTCAGATGTAGATGATCCTAAATATTTTATGGCTCTTAAATCATAAGGAAAAAAAGAAAATCTGTTATTTAGAACAAAGAAATTGCATGAATATATTTATCACTGTAAAAAAGTGGTCTCTTAAATTGGTAAGAAATACCTCTAAAGATCAATATCTAGAATTTATATACTTTTGATAACTGTTGATTGCCCCAGCATAGTCACCTCCAGTGTACAAATCATTTCCCATTTCTCTCTTTTTCTCCCTTGGAAAAAAAAGGAACAGTATAAGTGGCTGTAACTTTGCTAAGTTCAACAGGTTTAGCACCTAGAAAAAATAATCTCACCCTACATATTCAAAAAAGTGTTAAAGAGAAACAACATTTGTTTACACGAAGAAAAAATTAAAAAAAGCACAAAGATTGAATCATTTAGGCATTTACCCATCTAAATTGCAAATATCTAAGAGAACAGTTTGAGGAAGAAATGTTCTAAAAAATGTTGAAAAGCATTGTTCAAGATCACAAATTTGAATTCCATACCCAATGGAGATTCTCTCTTCATCACTCATGTTATTAATATTAGGACCATCTCGGACTGACAACAGTTGTATTTCATATGTAATTTTAGCATCAGGAGGGATAGGAGGTTTTGCATCAGGCCTGAAAAGGAAGAGAGAAGGATGATAAAATGACATAATTCTCAAGGCCATCTAATACTGAATGACTCCCTAGAGTTTGCCCCCGGTTTTCCTGATAATGTCCTTCATTCTTCAGCCACAAAATAAACCCAATGAAACAAACTTGCAGCAGGTCTATTTCAAGAACTCAGTATGATCATTACAAACTATGCCAAACAGAAAAAAAGAGCAAAATGGGTTAAAAGCCAAACTTTCAGCTAATCTTGTCAGTCTAATTTTGTAAAAGTGATATACTTTGCTGTGTCTTTGACTTGAAGTGTCAGCAAAAACCTCTGAGTGAACTCAGTAATTAAGACATTTTTTCCTAAACAAAGCAATATTAAAGTAATCTGTAGACAAACATACTTTCCTGCTTTTCCATAAGCATATCTTGCATCTGTAACAAGTTCACACACCTCATCCAACTCCATCAGGGATATTCCTATGTCAAAGGCTGAAAAGGGTTTATTTTTAGAGTCTATATCAAATAATGCTTTTGCACATTATTTTTCAATGAAGAACTTCAATGGGTTATACCTAAACATTTTAAATCTACATATTGCAGCAGTCGTTGAATTTGTTACATAATTTTTTGCACATAAAGCAGTGTTAAAGAAGGTGGATTTTTCCTGCAAGTGCTGATTTTTCACAAACATCATTTAAAGTTATTTATAGTGGTCATCTCTTGAAAGATGCATAAAATCATAGAAAACCAGTGCCTCATTTAAATGTAATCTTCTCAGACTGAGACCAAAGTAATTTTCTGAGCTTAAATCAGAAGGGAAGCATCCTTCTCCTCCCAATTCAAATACCTTGGATAACATCTCCTTCTCCAAGAATGAATTCCAAATTGCTATTCCAGTCAACAGCTGTCCCATCCTCTGTACGTCCAGCTGACTGTATCATAACTCGTTGCCCTTTGTCTGGTCGTGTATCCTGACCCTTCCCTTCACGCAACACCTACTCAAGAAAAAGTAGAAGATAAAGTATCAAGACAAGGATAAGAACACATCATACAGAACACACCCATCCCTTCAACATTTTTGTCACTTAGGGCCTGATTACATGAGCCCAGCTGGCCCAAATCTTGGCACTTTTTTATAGCACAATAAAACCCAACTTTATGATTAAATGACAACTGAGCCAATCCTAGTTAGCCAAGATCCCAGTAATGTCATTGTCTGTTGTTATATAATCACAAAATTGATTTTCCTTTTTAAAACAAAAGTGCCAAGATCTTGGCAAAACCAAGTCAGCCCTAGCAACTGGGCATTCTGACATCTCCTGAAGGTATGATTAGGCTTGGTTAATTGGTGTAAAAATTTCAGGTTAACCAAGAAGCAAGTCAAACCAAGCAGAGATCTCTAACTCAAAAAAAACCTTATCCAAGCTATATACTGACAAGACTACTATTGAGAAGAAGAATAATTTATATAGGTTTATTACTAGCTGGGACATGGCTTTATACCAGCAAACTTGCATGCATCATAAGTGTGTTACATGGCCTTGGATTGAAAATGTTAGTCATAAGTATTTCAGACAATTTTTCTCCCCTGAATTGCAGTTCAGGATTTTTCACTCAGTGGAAATGAGAATGAATAATTGAGTCAAGTTTATATTCCTAATACCATCAGTTCTGTAAACAACATTAAATTTCACCAGGACTTCCACATCCATAGCTAAAGATCTTGACTTCTGCATGATCTCATGATACCTTACTTTGCATGTTAACCATAACTAAATGGTGCCAAAATTTGGCATTTTGTGCAAAAGCATTTGGCAAACTTAGAATTCACTAGGGCATCTTTGGGAATGTTAGGCAACCTTTAAAGATGTTGGGATGCCTTAACCCTTTAACTCCCAGAAGTGATTTACATGTAACTTCTCCCTACAATATCTATATACTATCCAACAAACAGGTAACAAGATTACGCGAACTTATCAGTTAGAGGTTGATATCATGATATATAATGGTAATTGAACTGAGTGGAGTGCAATTTGGGCTGTAATAATATACATGAAAAAATTACTTAGTTCTGATTGGTTAAGATAAATGCAGTTTTCAGGAAATTCAGTGCAGAAGAGAGTTAATTCAGTGCAAGAGAAGTAACAAACCAGACATTCTAATTGGTCAATAGTCAAAGAAACCCACAGATAGCCAATCAAATGCGAGCCTTGGATGTTGCAACAAAATTTGAAAAATTGCGAGTGAAACAATAGCCAGTATTTTGAGTAGGTTTTCTTTCATCACTGCAGCTGAAAAACAGCTCTAACAACAAAAACGCTGCTACAAGCACTGCCTTTTTGGTTGTTGGTTTGGAAAAAGTGTTGTTTAGAGAAGGGAATTGCCAAGGAAATCGAAAATTATGAGCTGACCTGGCTTAAAACTTTGCTTGGTTGTTTTGTTTTTAGTGTAGCTTCCTCACTGGCTGAGAAAAAGATGTGATTTAAAGCAAAAAATGGTGCGATTATGAATAATTTGCACCAGTGATTTCAAAATGGGTGTAATAAAACATCAAATTCTTGTGACTAAATTACAAGGAAATGTGTAACAGCTCGATGGGAGAGTTACCAATCAGATCTTGGGAGTCTGGGAAATCCAGGTAGGGTAATCACACATATTTAACTCGGACAGTTCCCATCCAGAACACAGGTGAATAACATTTACAAATGGTACTGGTATTGCCGATCACTTGCACCTGCAAAATATGCGGTCATATGTTGCGTTTACCCGCGTTTCACCAATTCCTGCCCGTTATGAAGAAACTTAAAATAACATGTTTTTATTACCCTTTTCTTAAGCAGCCCATTGCCTAGTATATCCATCCAAGTATCTTCCGTTTGATCATTAGTCTTTATATCCTTTTCTTCTCCTTCGCTTTCGGACGTTTCTGCTTCTCCTGTCACTTCACTTTTGATCTTCCTATACTCAGCCTTACTCTCCCTATTTGGAGACCTGTGACTGCCACTTTCATGATCAGCAGTTGAAGTTTCCTGAATACCCTTGGAACTGCTGTTAGTTTCAGCTGGGGATAGTGAAACCTCAGCTTCTGCTTGATTTGTGTCGTTTGGAGAGTTCTCTTTCTTTTCAACATTATCATCAAGCACTTTTTCCTGTTCTCCAGGTTCCAATGAATCGAGATTCGGTGTTTCTGAAGCGCTTTGATGTATCGTTTTTAATTCATTAATATTCTCACTGCTCTTTTCGCTCACTTCAGTTCTATCCGTCGAATCTGAAGTGTTTGTCCCATTTTCCAAAGTTCTGTGAACAGCCGGTTTTTGCTCTCCATCGTTGTTCTCAGCCACAAATTCCTTGCTATCTTCAGAGCCGTGAACATCTTCAGCCCCAAAAGTCTTTATTAAATTAATTTCTCCTTGAGAAGTCATAACTTCGTGCAAGTGGGAGTCTCTAGTCGGAAGTGATTCATCAATATCGAAATTCGCCATGTTGAAATGATATCAATCTTCAGTTCCCAGGGATTCTCGACCAAAGTAACGACAGACTGTACCACACGACTGTGAATAAATGAAAGTCATATGTAAGAACAGCGCATAAAAGCGTGATTGATAAAGCAATCTTCGCATTAATGAACACTACTTGAGCATTAGTGAAAATGAGGCCTGAATTTTTTTCAGGCCTTATCTTCACTACTGCTCAGCTAGTGTTCATTACTGCGAAGATCGCTTTCATATTCACGTCTTTATCCGCAGTTCAAATGTGACTTTCATTAATTCACAGTCGTTCATTCACCTCTTCACGGGTTTATTTGGAACTCAAATTTGGCTTGTTAGCTCAGTTGGTAGAGCGCCGCACCGGTATCGCAGAGGACATGGGTTCAAATCCCGTACAGGCCTGAATCTTTTATGAATGAATGAATGCATTACATTAAGTTTCTTAATTCGTATGGTAGCCAAAAGGGAAACTGTTTGTTAATTTCTCTCTTTTTTTTTTTAACGTCCTTTCTCGATCGCGATAAACATTTAGGAGATACAAACGAAAAGTAATTACAATGAACTCTTTTTTTCAGCGGACACCCTTTGGACTAGGTACTTTACGGTTAATACAGGGTCAGAAGATATCCGCTCTTCAAAACAACCAATCAGATTTCAAGGCTTGTTTAAAGTAACCAATTAAATTGCAGGAAAATGAAAGACAAAGAGTAACATGTGGCAACTTTTGTTTCCAAAAGTCTTACTTTCCCCCCCCCCCCCAAAAAATGGATGAATTTAATTTCAGACCAGCTCAGTATTGCATCAATTAAATACTTAAACTGACCAAGTCCTGTATTTGGGCGATTTCAACCTCGCGTCGTGCAATTTTGGTCTGAAATCATTCTTGTGATTTCACATCGAACTCGCACTGCGTGCCCGTTCGATTTTGAAATCACACGTATGATTTCAGCCCAAATTGCACTTTACTCAGTTCAATTACCATTATTAATCAACGGCTGATCAACCATCTGTTATAAACCAAGTAAAATCATCTTACTTGATTATTGTACTTTTAGGTCATTCAGCAGTCATATTATAATTTCACAAATGTTGATAAAAATTTTGTCTTGTTGTAAAGGTAACCAATACACTACAGGTGTAGTATCTCATGCTTGATAAAATAATTACTGATAAATAATTTCCATCGGCTACTTCAACAGCGAGTCTATATCATGCGGCCAGAGTTACCATCAGTACACGAAATACAGCTGTAGTTCCTACTTTTCGGAACAGTTTGAAATCAGGAAAGAAAGCATGCTGATGTTTATACATTTGCACCAAGAGCATGGCTTTTCAAAGAAAATGTGCTAATCCATTCAAAAGTATTCGATTGCACGAGAAACCATGAACAGAATAACAGGTTTTTTAAATTAATATTTCTCTCAGCTTGAAACATATTTCAAGCCAAACCTTTTTACTTTAGGATGTATTCTTAAGTATTACATCCGACTCTTACAAAGCGTCTAGATTCTGTGTGGATGGTTGAAATGAAAACAAATACACTTAATGACACCTCCACGCTTCTTCAACATATTCTAACATGGCTCATGGAGAGTCACTTCGCCTTGTTTCCCTTTCCTTTTCCTTTCGTTTCGGACCGCTTCTGCGCCTTTCGTGACGTTGTTTTTCCCTGCTGACTGTATTTTTGGTCATCGTTTCTAAATTTAAAAAAAAGTGGAAAAAAAGACCATGAAGTACACCCCAAGCACGCCGCCTCTTCTGCTCGACACCCAAGACATCCTCAAGAACATGCGCAAACACCTTACCTACTCATAGTGAGCTTGTCACGACATCCTTTTCCCCCTTCCCAGTGGGTAGAACGTGGCTTGGTCACGGACGATTTACAGCCATTACAAGGACGCTGGGAGTATGGCTGAAAGAATCAAGCAAAACCCGCTTAAATCGTTTACACAAAAGAATACATGTTGCCGTGTTTCTTGGAGTCTTTGTTTAAAAGCAGGAATCCTCCCACATTAGCAGCTGATATTCTAATTCTTTTTAAGTTGGTTTTATTATCATTAATTGCAATGCTAACCCCAATCATTATTATCAAAAATTGTGAATTTCAAAATTTGAGGTGTCGAGGGATAATCCCTTTGTCAGTCGAACCTCCAGTGATTGAACCGGATCACGAAAATATCAAGCCTGTGCCAGCTAGTGACGGGCTCGTGCAAGCTGTCTTCAGGGTTGTTTTAATCTAGGCTATTGGAATACATTGCTTGGTCTTCTAAAGCTATGATCACCTCAATTATTTGAGGGCTTAAAAAAAAAAAAAAGGGATGCACCCCTTTTCCTTTGATGGTGGATATTACGCCAATTCCATCCCCAACGAAGAAAAACAAGGACAGCTGTAACATCGGGAGAATGAACAAAGCAAGTGAACAGGGTAAACTTCATGGATCAGATCTAACTCCACTTTAAACAGGTTAAGAATCCATTCCACAGACACTTCCTGTACAAACTCACTTGTTCTTTGGAACAAAAGCCACAAACCATCCGCGTGGCATATTTCATTTCGTGACTTTCTTGTTCTTCATGACATAAGTCACATGGATAACATTTTCCACAACAAGGAAACCTTGAAAAGAGTATAAAATGCTCGTTAAAGCGACATACAGGAGTGAACGAATGATCTGGTAAGAGGCTCCTGCACTTAGTAAATACAAAATTCTATCAGTGTTAGGGAGGTCATCAATTTAAATTTTTAAAAGAGATTTAATTTTATCTAGTGTCTAACGCCAATGACAACTGAACATGTTCTAAAACTACAATCAAGATCTTCAGCAGCAGCAGTGCAACACCTTACCAAGAAATAAGTTTTTCTCTTTTATGAGTTCGACACAGTTTTAATGCATTACCCAAATCAACCAATTTACTCCAATCTACAATGGGAACATTTTGAAAAAGGCAAGTACTCAGGGTTAGTGTACTAAAGTGTAGTTATCTTTAACACCCTAAGTTATCAACATCATAAGTTTACCTGAGCCACCTGTAACTTTTCTTGTAGTGTTTACACGTTCCATTACCAGGTAATGGCTGACCCTCCTTGATTCCTGAGTTCTGAGCTAGCCTTTTAGGCTTGGAGGAAGTATTTGAATCTTTACCTTTTTTAAGGGAGGCTAAAGAAAGGTATTATGAAATTTACATTAGTATCAGATGATTCTTCACTATCTTAACACTGTCAAAAGATAGTAAAAAAACAAGAAGCAAGCAATTGGTATAATGATGATGTTCAGTCAACTGAATTCACCAAGTAAATAGGTCTAAATACCCCTGAGGCCAATTTTTGACTAAAATACTGAAAACACTCTAATGAGCCTCTGAGGGCTAATTTATTTCCATGGTTTTCAGATGGGGGGAGGGGGGAAGCTTGATTGGTAGACAGGCCTATTAGAAAGGGGGGATTGTTTAAGAGGAGGGCTTACTGGAGAGAAAGGTTTATTGGATCAGCCCTACTGTTCAATTTGTATATGTATAAATTCCTGAATAATCAGTATGCATGCAGAGTACTGAGTACAATGCTATCAAAAGTATCTGTTTTAAAACCTGCTTGGGTTGCATCATTCTGTAATTCTTGAAAGCGAGTTGACTGCATGCGGAATCCAAGCTTTGAATGGCAATGCCTACACCAGCTCCAGTTGGCTCCATACTGCAGTCCCTACATAATCACATGATAAGTTTGAAGTTGCTGTCAGTACCTTTCCTATTTGTGAGACATTCTTATTCAACAAGATTTTCCTTGCTGTTCAGCCAGGATTGGCATACACTCTTTTTGTAAGTTTTACAAATCACTATTAAATAGCAACATTTCAGGCCATCAGTGATCTTTGTTCACTCCAATTTCTTTACATAATTACAGCTTTATTGTGAGGATCTTGCATTTAGTTGGGTGACCTTTGTGAATGATTCATTTCCTCATGAGAAAGTTATTCCTGTACATACTTAATGTAATCATTGATGTGGGTCAGTGATGATTAAGGGAACTAGAATACTTATAACAGCAAAGATCATTATTACTACTGACAGTAACTATTAATAAAAGTAATTTAAGATCTCAAATGTTTTAGTAAGTACATATCAAGACACCATTTGATGGCTATTTCAAGTATCACTGAACTAACCTTCACTGTTGTTTCTTTAGAACAGTTTAAACAACCTATCTTCAATTCACTCTCTGGTAGAACCACATCAAATGGAACACAGCTGAATGTGATAAACAAGACATGTATAACATTGACAAAATTTAAGATCTCAAAACAACAGAAGGCAGAAAATAAATGAGAGCAAAAAAGGGTCCAGTTTTGTTTCAAGGTATTTCTTGAGACTTCTGTCCAAGGCATAAAAGGCAATATTTATAAGCAAGCAAGTGAACTAGCACTTGGTAAAATTAAAAAAAGTTTGGCTTCTAAAAAATGAATGGTTCATGAATGAAATGAGAAAAAGTGCATGTGGCATTAAACCTGTATGTGCCAACTTGAAGTTCATGACTATTATTTCAGCCATCACTGTTTAAGATGGTGACCCACAGGAAAGTATAGAGATTTTCATTCCAATGCATTTAAGTTTTTGTTTTGCTTTGGGGAAGCAGTATACTATTTGAATGTGAAATTAGAAATAATTTTATTACACAGTTCAATTTCATTGATCTCTTAACTCACCCATCCAAGTCTAAATATCCTAAAATCAAAGAAAACTGATGAATAACAGCTGGTCTGTAGGTGACAGCAAAGACTGAAGCACATCTGATACATCTGATACATCTGATACAAACAGATCTGTAATAGGAAGGAAGTAAATTGAAATCCTAACCACAAGGGGTACTAAGCAAGATTGTGACATTTTAGTTTAGTTTAGGTATAAGAGCTAAGAACTTTGACACCATCCTCTATGCACTGCGCACATTATGCCACCCAGTCCAGTGAAAAAAACAAACAAACAAACAAAAATAGAAATTAATAAGAAGAAAATTTAGTGTGCGTAATTCATCAAATACTCCTTTCAGTCTGTTCACAAGCAGGTAATGTGACTAATACATACCCTGATCCAAGTAACTGTTGGTCAATCCTCTGCCTACACCTGTTGCATTCTAAAGTGAAAACTATCCTATTTCCAATCAGGGTGCTCACATTCTCTTCTAGATCAAGTCCTCTAAACTGAATTTCTGTTCCTCTCCTGACAGCAGAGGCCTTTTCATTGGTAATTCTTGTCTCTTTGTCTTGATCAGTTCCATTGTTTGTCATTTGTCCATGGTTAATATCTTCCATGCTTGAAGTTAGACATTTATTGTCCATGTCAACAGTTTTCTTCAAGCTTTTGCTTTCCAGCATTATTCCAAATCCAATGTTAGCGTCACAAGTTCTATTAGTACAATTTTCTTCTTCATGTCCAATGGACTTTTTAGCTTCAATTTGGTGACACAATAAGGCCTGCTTTATATCACCATGCTCTGTATCAGTTTTCTTCATATTTTCAGAGGGTTCTTGACTTTTAGTTCTGTTCAAGTGATCTCTATCTCCATTAATTGACTGATTGCCATAGCTTTCTTCAGGCACAGGAACACTTTCCAATGTCATCCCTGAGTCTGGTGTTGATGCAGTTGCTGATAGACTGTCTTGCGAAGGATTGTCAGCTACTTCACACTCAGTTGTGCTGCTTGAAGAAAAGCTTCCTTTCACCTGTGGAGAATTTAAAACAGCATCACATAGGTTAGAATCAGTGTAAATGAATGAACACCTACTGGTTTTGGTATTCATAGTTGACCATGACTATTAATGAATCTCTGATCAAGAAAAGTGCTTAATTTAGTAATTTGGTATGATCTTCATTTGCTCTTGTTCTGCTTTCTGGATTGAGGAAGGTACCTTTTAACTTTTAAAGATTCATAAACAGCAACTCAATAAGGGTTCCCCAAGACATTTTGATGTTGTATGTGAATAACAACATTTAAAAAGTTTATGGTGCACTTTGGACAATATATAGTTAAAACTAAATGTACACTAAAATTGCCTGATGTATACAGTTCACTTTTTTCATTACTTCATTACATGTTAAAAGCTGAAATTCAAGCCAATCTTGCTCAGCAGCCGGCCAAAATGAAACGGATCCTGTCCATGACATAGAATTCCAGCTTTAATATATGATTACTTCTCAGACAATCATAATTTGCTCTAGTGTTTTGCTTGAGTAGCTATTTTTATCAAAAGTCACTGCAAGCAGAGGCAAAGTTACATATGGGTCAATTTGAAGTGTTGCTCTCACCATGCCATATGTCTGCAAAATATTGCCTGGTTCACTCTTGTGAGAATGCTCTTGGATGTCTGAGGCATTTAAAGCTCATTGCCATTATGCTGGAGAAAAGTAAGCTTCCTTTTTCTTTTTTCCAAGAAGACTTTTTTAATGTCTATTTACAACTGTTTCCAGAGGGGTTGTTGGAAAAAAGGACAAAAGTGCACATGGCAATCTTGAAAGGTCATCTGGGTATCTGGCATTTAATGAATTTTAATAAATCAAATTACGGTAATAAATAAATTCATCAAACCTGTAATACCTTGTCCTTACAGTGACCTTTTCTCAGATTTCCCAAAAAATTCTGCAGTTATGAAGCTGTGACCTAAAAACTATCCACAATACCTTTCAGGATTGTTCAGTGCACTTTTACGCTTTTAACAGCTGAATAAGGTAAATGCATTAATTAAATTTCTAGAAGCTGTTACAAATAAACAATAAATTAAACAATCTGCCAGCTTCTTTCTTTCCAGAAAATTAATGTGAAGGACATGCAAACTAGATTTTAATTATCTCACTATAACTGAGGTATACCTGTCTTCCTGCATCCACAATGAAAGATTCCAGGTTCCTGTCAAACCAGCGCAGAAATGGTCTAAAGTATAGCTTTAAAAGTCCTTGATCAATACTTGCTTGCTCTTGCTTCACAGCCCATTGCTGAATTTTTAGAGTTACAAACCTTGCAAAAACAGGCACCTTAAGTTAGAAGTGCCTTGTGCACAAAACATACTGTTAAGCACAATGTTCCAAAAGTAAGTTATCGCTAGTAAAAAGTGGAGAGCAATACTGCACTACTGACCCCTATGAGTGACTAACATCTAACTTCCCCTTACATTAACACCTCTGAATCAAACATTTAAGTCACAAGAATAGAGGAAATGACTATCAACTAAAAAAGTTATTGATTGTTGAACAAATTCTACTTGTCAGCTCTTAGGAAATGTATTGAGAATAGTATGGAGAATATGCATACTGATATTAAGGTGTAAAGGATTAATAGTGTTAACTTCATTTATGTCCATCCACAAAATCACTTGAAAAGTTTCTTTTGCAAGACTCTTACAAAACTCTTCCTTATCAAAGAAGTGATGCCACAAATGTTAATAAAATAATGAAAAACCACAAGGCACAGCCTAATAACATCACCCCATTCGAATTAAGATCATTAATTAGTATAAGAGGTGACATATTGCTTTCTCAGTGAAAAAAAAAAAGGACAATTTGAATATTGACAATATTTAGCATACCTGATAACATCTTCAGAAAGAACTTGTTCCTTGGATAGAGATGCTGCAAAAATCTAAACAGTAAAAATTACCCAGTAATTAAAAAACATGCACTATCATTAGGTAAGAGGTGCTAGTTGAAGAGAGATTTAGTGATGAGAACACAGAGCTTAAGAATGGATTACAAGCTAGGCTGATAAAAATTGCTCAGTTTCAAAAAAGGTTTGAATTCAAATTATAATATACCTTTATAACTCCTTATCTGGGATGTTAGCTTATATTTATGTCCATGCTCTGATACATTCTCACTGTTATATTTTTTTCTTACTTCATCTTATGCTTGCAAAAACTGCCTCCTAATTCTAAAACAATGATCAGTTCCTGATATCTCTGTCTGGTTCAACACCTCAAATCGTAGGACAGGTTTAAATTTATCACAAAACATTTTTAGGGGCCACAAAGTACTGTTAAGTCTCCTTAGTACACTGCACACAATAACATAATAATGGCCTGAAATCAAAACAATTCCCCAAACAGTGAAATCAACTTCACCAGCCAGCAGCCCCAACTTTTATCCTAGTATGCTGAACTCACATGCAGAGGATAATCCTCCGGGAAGGATACATCAAGGTATACTGCCTCAATCTTAAAAGCCTGTAAAGTAAAACACAGAAAATTGCCACTTTACAAGAACAATTTCTTTAAGCTCTTGTAACAAATTACTAGCTTCACATCAAGTGATCATCTTATTTTAACAGGCTTCATTTTCCATGCATAATGGTTCTTTAAAATGAACCCTTTGTGGATAAAATAATTATTGCACACAAATTTTGTTGCATGCAGCTTGTGATACTTTATGTACCTAGCTACTGATAATGTTCTAAAAACCTTTTTTTTTTCCTAGGAAGAATGAGTGAATCTGTAAATACAAAACTGACTGTTTTATTATTTTTTTCTAGTAAAGTATCTGATTTTATTAAGATATTTGATTCCTGTTGTAAAACAACAATCAGAATTAAAGAAGACCCTATTCTAATGAACAACTAACATTAGGAAGAAAACTCAAATCATTGTTAGTATATGAGCAACTGCACACTTAGCCCTCCCTTAACCAAACAACAGTCAACTGATAACAAGTTGTTATTAGGGTTAATGTCAGCTTAGGGAGGGGTAAGAGCCCAGTTGCTTGGATACTGACATTTATCTGAACATTCATGTGAGCAGACACCAGCACATCATATCAGCATATAAATCCTTACACTTTGACCTCCCATGAGTGCACATCTTTCAGTAATAGTGAACAATGGTTCCCATTTTTGGCTCTCGGTAACCTGTCGGTCAACTGTCAGCCGACAGCCGACAGCCGACAGGTTACTGACACATTAGCAACACATGACTGACAGTTGGCTGACAGTGTTTAGTAGACCAAAAATTGACTTATAACAGAGTCAAAACTTTTCCAGTTGAAAACAGTAAATAGAAACCTGTCAATCGCACCATTTGTACCTATCTATTATGGTAAAATAGGCTTGTTTAACCCATCTTTTAGTAACTGTTCTTCACTTTTACCCATCTTTTTTACACAAATTGTTTTTTTTTCTGATGCACAGTACCTCTATTTTCAAAGTGAAAGACAGGATTTATTTTACTCACCCAGTCTGGATCTGTTGGTTTAACTTTGATCTTGTAACAACTATTCTCTGTGATTTCAGAGTAATTGTCTTTGAATCGTCTTTTAAGTTGCTGTATCTCAATTGATCTCAGTCTCTTACATTCATCATGTGGTTGTTCACTAACACCCATCCCCTTGTCTTCAGCAATGAAAGCTTCATTGGGCAACAATGGGATTTGAGCTTTGACCTTATTCTTGATAACTTCATTTTGATTATCTGGCCGTGCAATATATGACTCTACTGGCTGTTCAGTGATCTGTTTGACAGCCATGAAAGGTTTAAGTGTGTCCTTTCCCAAATGAGGTTTTTTGTTACTTGACAGATTGCCTGCCTTTCTAGAGACTTTTCCAGCTAGAGGCTTCCTATTGGTCTTGTCAATAGAAGTAGTCACATGTGCAAAGGGGCACATGTTGCCTCTTAAGCATCCCTTCTCTTTTGGAAAGAATTTACAAACAACTCTTTGTGCTGAGGACTCTTTATGCTGATCTGTAACCTTCTCTTCACCCTGATCAGTTATATCGGGTTCAGAAACCTTCTCAATTTTCTCGGATTCAGTGGATACCTTTAAATCCAAATGTAAAAAGCGGCATTTATTTCCAAACGCGCATCCTCTCTTACTCTTAAAGAACCTACAGGATTGCAAACCTGAGTTTTTCTCCTGATTGGATGGATACAGAAGCTTTGGAACATCATGAAGCTTTTTAACCTCGGTTAAATTAACTCCTGGTAAGTTTAATGGTTTTTCAGGATGTAGGAATTGGCACTCATTTCCAAACTTGCACTCTTTTTTCCTCTGGAAAAATTTACAAGTCTTTGTGATCGCTGTCGTGGTTGATGCATCCGCCATTTTGAACGCACCGGAAGCTGAGGCTTGGAACCTAATGATTCTTGTCGTCTAACCTCACTTCCGGTACATATTTTGTTTACAGTCGAGCGGTCTTTATGAACTGAATGAAGAAAATTATTAGCTTCGTTGCCGTAGTACCACACCTGCCAGGAAAGAATTTTTGTTCCTAGGAAACCAAGCTTTTTCATTTTCCGTGTTCAAGCGATTGTACTGTGACGCTAGTCGAATACAAGAACGGGAAAATTTGAACGTCCTCCTTATTTTATGGTGACGCATATGTTTCCATCTCCGTCAGAACTTCTGTTCAAGTCAGGTGAGAAAATCCAGCTGCCTCCTTGTAAACCACCCGTGGCCACAGAAAGCTGCAGCTTAAATTCGTGCATTTGAAGCCTAACAGGCTTGGGAAAAGTCCTATGAACGAGTACATTCGAAGTGCACCGAAGACAGGTATTTTTTGTGGCTCGATTGACGTAAATTTATCGCTATATTGAAGAAGCGACGAGGTTCAAGTGCCGTTTTGAATCATCATTTTCTATTAAATTAAAATTCCTTGCCTGCGAACGTTGTGTTTTGTGTTTATGATATGAGCGGACATGCAAGGATTTTCTTTCAGCAACATTGTTTGTCTCTCGTGACTCACTATTTGTTGTAAACCCTCGTCGAGAAATATCTGATTACGAAACTAAAGGTTACTTACAAAATTTTTAAGGGTGTGAGAAATGCTCTTTAATTCTTCTAATGTGATTATTAGATTTTCGCCGTTTTCTTTATTTACAGGCTCAATTACAAAAATTATCAAGCATATAGACCATGCAACGAACTTGGGGAAGTGTTTATTCTGCACTCCTCTCTATATGACGATCATATTGTAATTGTTTCGAGAGACAAACACGGCGACAGGAAATTTGAGAGGCTCAATTATATTTATATGAGTGATGTCACCGAGTTCAATGTAACACTTCACGGTCTGGACTGCATATTGGTATAAGGGTAACCTTTTTACATTTTAAAAGTTATTTTCAGGAGAAAGAAGCTATTAATTGACTGGAGAAGTCAAGTCGAGTATGCCGAAGCCACAAACAGTGATGTGCTACATTTGTGGGAAGGAATTCAGTTCACACTCCATTAATGTCCACGAACGACAGTGTGCTAAAAGATGGGAAATGACTAAACAGAAAGAAAAAGAGGAAGCCAAGCAACAGCAGATGAGAAAATCTTCACACGAGTCTCGTAGGCGACGAGTCTTACCTAACGTGCCGACTATGGACAGACAACAAAGTTTGAGTTTAGACGACATAAGAGGTTCCTCAACAAGGAGAGCATCGCAAACCCGACACAGTACTGTTACAATTAGGGAACAGGGGCAAAAATTACTTCAAGAGCGCTCAAAATCATTAGCCACTACAACACCACTGTTAAAGCCCGAATCTTCTCCGAGAGATTCTTCAGATTCCTCTTCTGAGCAGGATCCTCTTGGGAAATTAGACGTTCAGTCACACTCTTCCACAGAACAGAATTCATCAGACGACGACGACATTGACAAGAGTAGTAAGGCGATAGGCACTGTGTCTGAACTCAATGGGCAAAAGAAAGACTTTTCACATTCAAGACCAGGGACAGTTACTCTTAATGGAAAGCATCTGACATCTAATTTACCCAGGAGGGAAGGCTCACCAGAATCATTATCATCAGACTCACAGGATGCTGACAGTGTGAAGGGCACACCTTTGTCAAAAGCAAGATTCTTTTCCTCAAGTAACCCCAATTTAATGGTTTGTTACATCTGTGGACGTGAATATGGATCTAAGTCCTTGAAAATTCACGAGCCTCAGTGTCTGAAGAAATGGCGTTTAGCCAATCCGAAGCGTTCTCGCAGCCCTTGTGGTCGTCAAAATGGGCTCAGTAAGGCAAATTCAGTTTCTTCTCTTACAAGTCATGACATTACTATCCTTGATGATCAACAAGTTACTTCCTTAATGTCAATACCACAGCAGAAACTGGAGAAACAACGTTCTGCTTCTTGTGAGAATCTCATTGCCACTACCAGTAGGAGACCATCCAGAGGCAACATTCAAGTATCAAAGATGGTTCTTTGCTACATTTGTGGTAAACAATTTACTTCCCACTCCTTACCAATCCATGAAAAACAATGTTTGAAGAAATGGGAGGCACAGAAGAAGGTAGAAGCCACTGAAAAGTTGAAGAAAGAGTTACAGTCTAAGAAAAGGAACTCTATTCACTTGCCTGTTACAATAAAAATTGATCATGCTGAAGAAAATAACAATAAAAAGACTCCATTGCCCAAAAGGAGTGGAAGTTATGGGGATCTCTTATCCCCAGAGCATGCTACACTAGATTCTGATTCTGACACAGGTGATCAGGCACAAGATCAGGAAAGCTTTAAACCAAGTAAACCAGCTCTGGTTGTATGTTATCTTTGTGGCCGTGAATATGGTTCAGCTTCAATTTCTATCCATGAGAAACAATGTTTAAAAAAGTGGCAGATAAGCGAAGCAAGAAAAACACACGAGAAGTCAAAGTCAGCTAAAGAGAAAAAAACAACAGGCATAAAGCAAAAACCAAAATCATTTGTATTTTAAAGTCAAGATTAACAGTCAAATTTTAAATTATACACATATAAAGAGAAGCCCAGTCACCTAGAGTGCAAACTGATGGACATGCTCAATTCAGGGATTATTGACACCCTTTTATTTTAATCCTATCACAATCTATGGGAATAATGTAGGACCCCAACAGCATGCCTCTCAAACTATGAAGTCACTTTGAAGTTAAATGGGCCTTTATGGCTGGGACATGAATCTTTCCAATGTTGTTGGTTAGGGCCCAATTGTTGAAAGAGCAGTGAAGCAATCCAACAGTTAAATTTTTATCCAGTGGATTGCCTTTGCCATAACCAAATTAAATTTAGGTTTTTTTTATTTTTCAATCTGTTATTTTCAATGCTCTTTATTTAAGCATGACAAGGAGTTTTTTGGGTTTATTGAAGCACACAGTAAAAATTTGCTGAAAACATAAAATTTCCTCTATCTGGCATTTTGGCCCACATCATACAGGATTTTGTTCTTGGTAAATTGATGTTATTATCAACTTCATTTCACATTAAATCACATTTTCAAGTTTATTGTAAAGCTTTCCAAAATATTTGTTTCAGCTAGATGATGTGTAGGAAGCTGGTAGGAAGTAAACTAAAATGCTTACTTTAAAGAAGCGTAAAATTGCTAAAATAATGTATAACATGACACAAAGTTCAATTTAACAAGAACAGAACTGTTGAACAGTTTTGTCTCTATGAATGTTTATTTTGTAAGCCAAAGCAACTGAACTAGATTTGAACATAGGGAACTTGACTTTTTCTGCATAAAATGTCTGGGATAAGGATCACTTCAAATTATTACTATTGCTTACATTATCTTTAAAATCTGAATACTTTTTTTCTTTTTACAGTTTCCTAATTAAAGTTTACTACTTCACCTGAAGACATTTCAACAAAGTGTTGTAACATGCATAAGATCAAAAATGTTATTTCAATTGTTGATGTCATGTTGTTGTAACAGGCATCATTTCATTCCAAAACAAAGCTATTTTTAGTCCATTGAAGATGTACCACTTTGTCTAATTTGTGTGTAATAATAAATATTTATTCTGAAAGAATCCATTAAACTTATGAAATATATAGTCTTGCACTTTGCCTGTGTTTCAAGCATAACTTCAAACCATAAATGAGTTCAACTATATCAACTGGTTTCTTGCTTCATGCCAATTTGAAATGATGCTTTTGTGCCTTCAGGCACCATCTTGCAAAGGTTGCTTTCTTAGCATCAACACTGAGCCAAATTGTTCTTGGCAAGCTCCAGGGAACATTGGACAGCACAAGCCAGACAATAACTATAAAGCCATATGCACAGTTGCTTTTGTTCCAACAAATCCTTGTCCTTTGCCTTTTCATTTGTGTGTTGAATGGACCAGAGTAGTCTTACATTTGATAACAATGAAGAGTGATCATAAATGAAGTGTGTCTATGCTGACGGATAGTTGTTTCTCTAACATTTCCTAAGAATGTCAAAACATGACCATCAGAGCAATAAAAATTCATTGTGCCAAACTAAAGGCCTTTTACATGAGAACAATAATATTATCACAATCGCTAAGAAGACTGTGTCAGGTAACACACCTTGGATCAAGCAATGAGCCAAAATCAAGTCTTGCTAGTAAAATTCTCATGAGAATAATATAAAAATTTTAAAATCACATCATGTAACCTCAAGAAAAAAAATCTGTTTGATTTTTAAGATCTTTCTAAACAAATTTCAATGTTTTGTGCTAGACCAACTTATCCTGGCTAGTGACCAAAACCATGAAACATGGACTGCTTGTTTCATGAGAAGAGAAAAATAATAGAAAACATGGTATGAATGACTGGAGCTTCAATAATTTGAATATAGTGATGTAGAGACATGTTTGAAACAGACTTCAATGTACAACTGTGTACTACTCAATGTTTAATTGGGGAAAACATACCAATTGCATTTTTGCTTCTTCAACTTTCACCTTAGCTTGAGAAATATCCTTGAAAAAATAATGACACAGAAAAATTGGTTTCCTAAAATTACAAGTCAACCATTTACATGAACTAATACATAATAGTGAAAGATAACTTGGTAGTCATTAAAATATAGAATATATTGCATGGTTGTGCAGGATGGCTTAAATCAATTGTACAGTTTTGCTCTGAGGTATTTTTTGTGTTTCCAGCACGATAAGGTAGAATTTGTCTCTTACACTAGCCATTTTATCTTCTGTTTATTATTAAAATCTTCAAATCAAAGAATGATGTACAGTGCAGTTTGAAATAACAATTCAAAAGTACCAAAGTCTCATCGAGAAGCCAAAGGTAATTCATGAAAGTTTGCTTTATAGGGTTGAACAAGACTCCACTTACAGGTGGAAGGCTATGGTAACCCTCTAACTTCCTCTTCATTGGTTTCATCTTTTCTTCAATTAGTCTCACTTCCTGAAAATTGAAAGAATGATGTTGCAAGTTACATGACAGTCTTTATTGGGTCATCATCATGATAGGTTTTCAGAGTTATTTTTGAGTCATGTTATCCATAATGTTTCTTTTTTTTTTACAAAGGATTTATCACCAAATTTAACTTATTTGACCAGTGTTTTAAATTTAAAAAAAATTGATATAATTATTACAAAAGGAGTAAGGATGTTTACAGTTGTATTAGTGTTGCATATTAAGTACGTCAAAATTTAGGGAAACCAAAATAGTTTCCCCCTTCTATTTGTTACCTTTGCTGAATAGTTTCATTCAGATGGCAAGTGGGTTTTATTAACACATTCTATATTTACCATTAAATTTTTCACTAAGGTTACTATACTCATTATTATCAGTATCAAAAAAAATATATAGGTATGAAAATTTGGACTGACTGATATTCCACCTTTTAACAGAACCTTTCACAATAAATTTCCAAAGTGATCAGTATAAAGGAGTGACCTCTGATCAGGTAGAGTACACAAGTACAGTGAATAGGATGGCTTAAGTTGATACCTCTGCCTTCTTAACAAGGGAATTGTGGTAGATTGAGGAATCTAACTGTGCTTTGCTTTGATATCCCTACAAAATATAAAAAAAAAAAAAGATTTAATACATTGTGTATAAATTGAATTATACCTAGCAGGCTTAAATAATCAAACAACAACATAACTGGTTTGTATGCTCTGTTGCATCTGATACTTTTTTGCATTTGAAGGGGCCACCTGTATGCCAAGATATTCAAACAAGGCTTAACTGTACAACCTGAAGTCTCATCACAATCTTATTAAAAAATTTCCAATTCCCAAGAAAAACAAATTGTTTTAAAGAAAGAAGGAGTTGTAATTCTAATTTTTACATGCAAATAACTGTGGTAATAATATAAGTGAAACATCTTTAATACAGACATTCTTATTTACTTATCTCTCCATTTTGAGAAATCTGCAGCTTTGGATCATTTGATGGAAAGCTCTTTTTATGAAAGGTTATTTTAACCAGTTAGGTGGTTGGTGGATTCATTGAAGTGCAGTCAGCATAACCAGGAATATAATATCATGTCCAATTACAACTAAAGAATCTCTGGGCAAGAAATAACCTAGTTCATCGACCAGTAACATTTAGGTATGCTGTGAACCAAAAATTATGAAATCATTACACAGTACTGTGTTGTTAAAGTTAAATGCATCACTCACCAATAGAACAATTTGAGAATAATTGGAAATGGTAAATGATTCTATTTTAATTCAGTTGTGCCAATCCCTGCTTAAGGACGATGCAAGCAAAGATGACAAAGACACTTATAATGGAATCATGGCTCATTTTCAATAATCAGACTGGTCAGTTTTGAGCAAGGTGATCCTGGTGACAAACATCTTATTATTCAATTAATAAATTGATGTTTTTATTATTATTGAGAATTACAGAAATATATAGATCTGAGCTTTACTTGTACCTCAAGTTCCCTGTTGCTTTTCTCATATTCTTTACACTTGAGTTTAACAAAGTCAGTTTCTTGTGCATTTTTCTTCAGCTGAGGAGTCTGTAATGCTATTTGATCCTGGAGACCATCAAGAGACCTGGAACAATGTAACTCTTGAAGTAAACTATATCTTTGCTTGATTACAGACTTTACCCTAACAGTCCCTCTTTTTTCCAATATGGGAGATAAGGTGGCAAAGCTCTGGCTGGGTCATTGCACCATATTTTTTAGTTTGACATTTTACCTTCACAACACCTATCTCCACCCTGGAGGGTAGCTCCTAGGACTGGTATCCCATGTACATGGACTACCAATACTTTTGGTTATGTCATGCAAAGAAAACATGATAAGCTCCAACAGTGAAAGGCCAGCAAGCTATTAAGACTTGCAGTATTTCCAGAATTAATTATAACCATGCTGTTTGGTTGTTGTTGTTGTTGGTGGTGTTATATGGATATTACAATTACGTAAATTATGGAGCAAAAAGATGAGATGAAGAAAGGAAACCATAAATTTGGAGATGCTGATTGATTTGACACCAAATTCTCAAAGCCAAAAATATAATTAAGCAGTGAATGGAGTACAGTGCAGTGAATTGACATTTTGATCTTTGGAGTACAAGGGTTACATAATAATTGGTGGAATTAAAGGGTTATGTAATAATTGGTGCATAATATGGTAATCTGAGTTTATCAGTTGATACCTCTGTAGATCAGAAGCATCAGCTTGTGCTTTCTTTGTCTTCACCACTAATCTGGACAGAAGTCGTTTCTCCTCTGTGTTAGCATCCACTGCAGCAGACAGGGCCTGGTTTTGTTCAGCAATGCCCAACAGAAGACTAACAATGAATGAAAAACCACTGTGAAAATTATTAGAGAGAGATTTTTCTCTCTGCAGACAGATGATGTCCAGTGATATTTATTGCTTTTTACAAGTAAGCATGAAAATTGCATACTTGACCCCAGATGATCATCTAGAAGGACTTAGCTTGTGAACAGGCCCTCATTATTACTAGTACCACAAGATACCCATTTCTCTGCCTGCAGGTATATTTGAGACAAGTCCAGGAGAGGTTTGCTTGGGGTCTGGTACCAACAGCTTGCACTACAGCCACTCAAACATCAGAAATCCCATTTTTTTCTCTGACTTTATAAAACAGTTCATAAATTAACTAATGAATAACCTATTTTGAAATACCATTCTGATTTTGTTTTCTTTTTTTGCATGCAAGCCATGGGCAATATACGCTTTCTTTTAGGGACAACTAGGATGAGAAACCACCATCCCCTCACTTCTCTTCAGTCCACTTCAGAAAGTGCAATGGATTTGTCTCAGCCCCAAAATAACAATAAGGATACCACTCCTTCAATATTTTTTAGGGAAAACAACTGTCTTAACTGTTTTGCATTCAATGATTCACCAAATCTGCTTACCTTGAAGTGGAGCAGTCTTTGGTCCCAAGCAACAAGGCCATAGATGCTAGGGTTTTTAAACTCATGCGTCCTGACTGTGACATGCAGGATACTGGTAAACCCACTTGTTCTGTTATCCTGCTGAGTCTTTCAACTGATTACAGACAAAACAAATTATCCATCCTTATGCGTTTCAGTGGTCCTGAATTAATCATTTTCACGATAACATGGAAAATTAAAGCATAGAAATTCGTAAAAGCACTGTTTTGAAAGTTCTTGAACTTTCAAAAGTCATCTTTCTGAACCAATCACCAAAATTACGTAGACCCACATGAGACTCGAATGTTTAAGCTTTTATATCTAGAAATACCTGGACATACAGACCTACCTTTATAGTTACAAGTAAAAAATAGAGGTAAACCGAAAGAATAGGAAGACTTTATCATAATGTGTATGCAAAAAAATGTGTCCAATAAAGATTAAGCGTATAGCACCTTCAGCAGAATATTCCACCGTCTTCTGAGTACGGTCCTTTGTGACAAGTTCAGCATGCTTATTCTGTTTCAGATTTCTTTTCGCAAGTCGTTCCAGTACATTCAAAGTGAAGCTGTTTATCTCAAACTGGGGAATATGATCTTGGCCAAAGACTTGCTGCAGCCATGTAAAAACCTAGAAAAGTAGTTCGTTTCAATCTTTGTAGATATATCCTTCGAAGTGGAACGATATGACCAGAACATAGAGCAATCTCACATGCCCATCATTCCAGTAACCCACTCCCGATTTCCTTTCATAAGAGCACCCAAGAAAATCTAACCTGGTTATGTTTTCCTCTGCCGTCAGTCGTTTGAAATTCCTCCATTATTTATTCCGACAAGTGTTCTTGAAAATGGCGCGGGTTACTAGTAGTAGATCACCGTCCCTCGCGGTTTTTCTCCTCTGTTGACATTATTAGCACGGTAGACTGGGGCTGAGTCACAAGGAAAACTTCCACGACGGCAGCCATGTTAGATTAGCTTGGTCGAAGATTTGATTCATTGTTTTTAGAGCTTTGAATATGTCTTACAACGCTGAAAAACCGGAAGGGGACTCAGATGTCCCTGATACAAGAGCTGGTGGATTTTTTTCTAGTGATTTTCAAAGGTAACTTTCGTCCTTTCTGTATGATTTGCACCAACCTGATCGATGTCCCTTACTTTCACGAGCTTTCGATTTCCAGAGGTCATCAAAATCTCAACTTTTATTACAGACACGATGATTTGAAAAATATGTTAGACAGTACAAAGGATAGTCTTAAACTGGACGCGATGAAAAGGATTGTTGGGGTAAGTTTTCATCTTTATCAAGGTTTGACAGGCTTGATAGCGGAATTCGAACACTGGATCAGTATGTGTAAATCTAGGAGCACGACAAACGTTATTACGATTTCTACCTTTTGGTGCTCTAGTTTTCAAGTAATTGAACTTAGATTTTTTCTTAGATTTTTTCTGTTTTATAGTCTTGTGATGCTAACTAGAATAGGTCAAAAGCAGTACGTTTATGTATTTAACCTCAGCTCATTTCTTTATGGATTTGTAGACACCTGAGCCAAAGAATTTACTGACATTAGTATTGTATTAGTATTAGTATTGTATTAGTATTAGTCAAAAAAACTGATAAACTCTTATTTTTTTCCCCTTAAATAGAAGATAAAAATTCAGAACTACACTCAATACATCTCAACCAACTTTAAAAAAAATGAAGATTTTCTGCAGTTTTGTTCATTACAGCTGCCATGCTTTAACACTATCCTCTTAGACACTAAATGTACTCTAATTGGTCAAACACTTATCATTCATTGTACCAATACACCCATAGTTGTTTTGTAATAGTAATTATCTACCTTTTTTCTTGGTTTATGGTCCATTACAGCCAAAGTCCCAAGGGATTTTTGTAGATGATACAAAAACATCACTCACAGCTAACTCCCAAGGGTTAAATTAAAAGTAGTGAAGAAAAAAGGGGGAACAGTAGGGATCATTAAAATTGAAATAAGCACCTCTTTATACAGTTACTCTCAAAGCATTCAGTTTAAATATGTGAAATAATATAATTATGGTGGCAGTCATGAAACACCCTTTTATTCGTGGATGGAGAAGTTCTTAGACATAGTTTTTGAGGTCTTGGGTTATCTCTTCTCATAATACTATACTGAAGTAATGACCTACAAATTCAATAAATTTGTAAATCCTTAAGGAAAGTTAAACAAATTTACCAGTCTCTCTTGTGTTTTCCAAACATCCCACTTAGGTTAGTACCCTGATAAACTGATAAAATGTTGCAATGGTAGTACCTTGACCTTAGGTTGTTGTTGAATAATCAAGTAAAGCTAGTAATGTGCTCGAGTCATTCAAGATGATTTGTGACTAGTTCTAAAGAAACTAATGTCAAAGGTATATTGCTGGTAAATATAAAATATAGTTGGTTGATTATTAACTATAAGTTCCATTGTTAGCCGCAGATATCTGCAGTAGCTTTCTATGAGAGAGACCTTATACTCAAAATTTCATTTCTCTGTCTATAGTGTGGAAGTTATTTCACATTAAGTACATTCAAGTTGATAATTGTCAAAGTCATTTAAGATAGATTGGCATGCTATCTGGGATAAGAACAATACTTTCAGACACTTCATGCTAGGGATTTGTGACAAGTTCTTTCACCCATTAGGTCTCTGAGGAGTTACTTAGCAACCTATAAGTCAGTTACAACCTTTTTTGATCGCAGATGATGGCTGATGGGAGAGATGTATCAGACCTTTTTGCTGCAGTGGTTAAGAATGTTGTCTCTAAAAATGTTGAAGTAAGTGATTTGTTTTTTGTTATTTAAGAGAGCATTGCTGAAATGTCAGCATTAACTGATATTTTTTCTCCCAATATCTTGTTTGGATTTAGACAGTAACAGGGATTCTGACATAAGTTATGCTCTCTGACACAACATTTTTTTTTATTTTGGCAGGTCAAAAAGCTGGTTTACTTGTACCTCGTCAGATATGCTGAAGAACAACAAGACTTAGCTCTCCTCTCTATAAGCACATTTCAGAAAGGACTGAAGGTTGGTCAGATCCATGTAAATAAGCAAATACTGTAGATGATATATTGGATTATACCTGAATGAGAATACCCAGAAAGTGTGCTTGTCCAGACTGCTCTATAGCTATAAACCTCCCTGTAACCTCTGTAATGCTAATCAATACTCAGATTTGTCTTGGAGGTATGACCATAATCACCAAGAAAACTGCTAACTCTAGGTATTTTTAGCTCTAAGTATTTTTAACTCTAGCTTTTTTTCAGAGAAGTCACTCTCAGTCCCGTAATGTGAGGTACTAGTAATCAACTGAAGAAAGGCAGATCCTGTCACTTTCACCTGTTTTTACATCACAATAATTTTGTCATCTTTGCCTCTTAATGCTCAGGATCCAAACCAACTTATCCGTGGAAGTGCTTTACGGGTTTTGTCAAGTATCAGAGTTCCTGTTATTGCACCAATCATGATGCTAGCAATAAAAGAAGTAAGTGAATGCAAAGATTGTAATAACTGTCCTAAGCTACTGGTGGACAACTATTTTTTTCACTTTCTGTTCAATTAGCGGCGCTTTTGGAAAGGCTGATCCCATAGTGAGAAATCCACAATAGCCATGATATTACTATTGGGGTCTGAATTATACTTATCAGGAATATTAGGAGACTAAGAAATGTATAACTCTTTCCAGGGAGTTGCAGATATGTCACCTTATGTTCGGAAAACTGCTGCTCATGCCATTCCCAAACTTTACAGGTATGCTATTCTTTATGTTTTGTGGTAACCCAGTCACACATTCTTATTCTCCCACATTAAGCAAAAAAATTATGACCACAGATCCTGGAGAAAAAAAAACTACCCAAGGTTTAAGTCCCACCTCCTCCCTTTTTTAATGGTCCATTTCAAATTTTGATGATGTCTACTTCATAGTCCAGCATCCCTTGTGAGTTGGGCACAACTTCTGTCTGAGCTACAAAGCTACTTTGTTGGGACAGAGGAAAATTTTAGGGTGTTCTTTGTTCTGTGACAAAATTTACCCTCAGTAATGAAATAAGTCATATTTTGACCTTCAGAAGAAGCAAATTCAGGCTTTTTTCATGACAAGTTTCCTCTATAGGAACAAAAGACCTGCCAAAGATTTGCTCTTAACATGTAGCTGCACCTGAGAGGAATGGGGACAAAACTTGTTAAAGTTTATCTACAGTTTCTCTAATTGCAGGTCATCTGCAAGGATTTTACTTCTTACATATGATTTATTTAATTTGTTTTGTTTTGTTTCATTTGCTTAGAGGTATTTTGTTAAGCATGAATTGTAATTGTAATTGCATTTCTTTCCCTCTTGTAATTTGGTTGAATCATCAATAGAAACCAAAAGATTAACCAGAAAAAATTATACTTTTCTAGTTTGGATCCTGAACAAAAAGACTGTCTTATTGAAGTTATAGAGAAACTATTGAAAGACAAGACAACGGTAAGGATTGAACAATCACCCAGAGTGATCATTGCCATGTTTTCTTTTCCAGTTGGCCTGGTGTCTTACATTTGTTCATATATGACAGGCTGCATTTCAATTCTGGTTATAGTAATGTTATCACATTGTTTAACAGCTTGTTGCAGGCAGTGCTGTTATGGCTTTTGAGGATGTTTGCCCAGAGAGAATAGATTTGATACACAAAAACTACCGCAAATTGTGTAACTTGTTGATAGACATTGACGAGTGGGGTCAAGTTGCTGTCATCCATATGCTCACAAGATATGCCCGATCACAATTTATTGACCCAAACAAAGAGGTGAGGTTGTCTGCCTGGATTGCAAGAACTACAGGTCAGATAAATTTTTTTACAAGTAAGGTATTGATTTAATAAACTTTTGTTTAGCCCTCATCAGAGGAAGCCTTCTATCCCCAATCTGATGATTCTGATGATGATTCTGATGATGATGAATCCAGAAAGGAACCAAAGAAGCAGACTTACATGATGGATCCTGATCATCGCCTTCTGTTGAGGACATGTAAGCCACTTCTTCAGAGCAGGAATGCAGCAGTAAGTTGCCATCTGAATAATGAAATAATGAAACTTACAGTTTGTAATAACAAGTTAAAATGATGAACAGCATTCCTTGTGGCAGAACTAGCCAGTTATCCATGATTGTGGATACTTATTTGATCTACTGTTTATCATTAACAGGTGGTGATGGCAGTAGCAAGAGTGTATCATCATTTAGCACCCACAAATGAAGTTGGAATTGTGGCACGTTCCTTAGTCAGACTCCTTAGAAGTCACAGGTAGGAATGTGTTTACAACCATTTACCAACATAGTAAGCTAGAGTAATGTGTCATGTGTTAAGACACACTAACTTTGAAGATATACCTTTATTACATCACAAGATATCACAAAGAGAAAAAAATACATTTAAAATTGTTGACAAAAGTTGTCCTTCTAGTCTGGAAAAATGGGACTTTTAGTGATTAAAACATTTCTGGTTGAAGATTTGAAAGTTTGTGACGATGAATTTTGTTGCACATTAAATCTATCTTGAAACAATTGAAGAGTTAAAGCTGAAGAGGGACTTAAAAGAGTGTTTCTAAACTACTAAGCCACTAAAATTCATTTGATTTTTCACACATTTGAAATAGTTAATTTTACAGTCATGTTTTTTTTTTCTCTTCTAGGGAGGTCCAAAGTGTTGTCCTCAGTAATATTGCAACAATGTCTTTCACAAGAAAGGTAGAGAGTGAATAGCATCTTATTTCTACTTTCAATATTCCCCCTGAGTCACACATAAAGGTCACAAGAATAAAAGAAATTATCGCCGACTTAGGAAGCTCTTGATTGTTAAACAAATTCTCCTTTAAAGCACCTGAGGAGATGTATAGAGAAAAGTATGAAGAATAGACATACTGATGTTAAGGTGTAAAGGGTGAATGGCTCTCTCATGTTTAATGCTTAGTTAAAGTGATGGTGACAAAGTAGTAAATATATTTTTTTACAAAAAGTGCTTTTGCTAAAAGGCTGTGATTGGGTTGCAGAAAGCAGCTTGAATAATGTTTATTGTTGGACCTTGTTGATTGGGTAGTATTGCTAAAAATTAGTTTTTCAGCAATTGTATTTATAGTAAAAATTCTGATCAATTCATTATTTAATTTTTTTAATCATCTAATACCCATAATCAATTTTTCCAACATAAATTTTTTAACATTAATTAGTCAATGGATAATTTTTTTGCAGGGAATGTTTGAGCCATACCTGAAAGGATTCTTTGTCCATTCAAGTGATCCAACACACATCCGTTTATTAAAGGTAAATTATTCAGGTTACTCATGATAGAAGTAATTTTGAGATTTTTAATGAATGGACATCAAATGGGTTGTTTGTATGTTTTTTAAGTGTATGACACCCTGTCATATGATGTCACTCTTTCAGTGTCTGTAAGTAATTTATAAGAATAAAGCTAATTTTCATGACTCCTCATGGCTTCCTTTCAAAATCTTGGGTAATGAAAAATGGGGAGGAATTTCAGGTTTTCTCTAAGATCATTATCATCATGTAATCAAACCAAATCCTTACTAAGTTTTTACCTGTCCTGTGTGTGGGTGATTTTAATTATTTTCTTGTTTTCATTGTAGCTAGAAGTTATGACAAATATTGCTGGAGAGACAAGTATTGGCACAATACTTAGAGAGTTCCAAGTATGAGATGATGTTTTTTTTAAGTATAACTTCAAAATATTTCATGTGCAGTAACTGGTGTCTATTTTATCTTCTGTGTGTGTGTTGAGGCAGTGACAGCCTATGTTAAGTTGTCTCCACTCTGCTATGTGCTGGAATTGTTCTTTGTCTTCAATGTCCACTTTCATGGCTATTCTCTATATATAGATAGCTAATTGGTCTTACTAGTTATTTCTAGGTGGGATTTTAAGTAACTTGGATTTTATTTTGAAATTTGTTTCTCTGTTCATTTTTGTTCGCTGTTAACCATTGAATAAGTAATCCTTCATACCACTATGAGCACTGATGTCAAAAGTGGTTGGAAGGTTACAAGGCTAACTCTTGTTTGAAGGCCTTCTCTCATGCTCATAACAATACTATTATTACGATTCAACTGAGCCACTGAATTTACCATCTTTTTGATCAATGTGAATCAAATTTATTTATGAATTTTTTCTTTTAGAGCTATATATCCAGTCCAGATAAGCAGTTTGTAGCTTCAACAATTCAAGCCATTGGGCGATGTGCCTCAAACATTTCTGAAGTTACAGAGACTTGCTTAGCTGGCCTGGTGCGACTGCTTTCTAACAGAGATGGTACATAAAAATTTTAAGTTGGCTGCATGTAAACCTTAGTTGTACTTGTATTAACC